CCACAGTTCATGTACACCAGACATTTGGCTTTGTCTCTTCTGCCCAGCGGAGGACGCGCCCGAGGATACCCTAAAATAGATGTCGTTCCTTGAGCTGTGCTGTCTGCCTCACCAGCGAGAGGACTGCTGTAGTCCCGCACCAGCCACGTTCCCTATGACTTTGCACCCTGTACCAGGCTCCTCTCGAAAGATGGCTGGATTAATTTCTGCCTTACACTGAATATGCAAAACACACAGCTTCACGTAACGTACAGGGATACACGCGAGTGAGCACGGCCAGGAATCCCGGCGTCCTTCCTGTCCACCCGTGGACCCACGCCAAGAGGTCAGGGTCAGCACAGCCTTCTTCAACACAACGCTCCACCACCTCCACAAAGCCTACAGCTCTGCATCAGTGGCTCTGGGCTTGCACGAAGCTCAGGTCCCTGACTATGGATGGTCTAAACACACCTTGTTTGATGGCTGCTCACGTGCTGATTTCCCGGAACAGAGACCTGACGTTGGTTTTCACCGCTTGCCTGGGGCCTCAGGACAACACACAGCTGGGCAGCACAGCTGGGACTGGGAAACCCCCGGCACTGACTCCCCTCCCGCTGCTCACTGAACAGACTGAGACGATTTTCCGTTTCTCTGAACAGAGGAGAGGCAGGACACGATGCGAATCCGCTGCTGTTCTGCCTTTTCACGACGTTAATCCCTCTCCTGGCAAACACTCCTGCGGCTCGATCCCGCAGGGCACCGAGCAATCCCTGCTCTCCTCCACGGCCCGGTGAGGGCTGAAGAACGAGCACGTGCATCAGCGGACTCGCTCTGCGACCGAAGCCCGTGTCAGACCACGCAGCGCTCAGCGAGGTTCAGCCCGAGACGCCGCTTTGCCCTTCTGCCCGGAAACCCGCCGGGCTGAAGCTCTGCAGACCACAGAGCAGCCTCCTCGTCCGTGCTGCAGGTTTATACCGCTCGCTTTCCTCCGCTGAAGTCTCTCCCAGCAAAGCTCTGTTCAAAGATGATTAACAGATGTTGTCATTAACAAGCTGGTACTTGCCAACAAGCAACACACGGGTCTGCTTGAGGAACAGGGCTGTTTCCCCAGCTTTCCCCAAGAACAGATACTGGCGGTAACTGGGGAGCCCTGCGAGAACGTGACTTTTCAAAGCGTCTTCCACCATACAGAATTTCCTAAGAGAATGCTGGTTTCCTGAGAATTTATCTTGTTCTTATGAAATCATTTGGACAAACACACACGATACTGCACAGTCAGGCCTGTTCTGAGTAAAGGAGTAAGTGGTGATCTTTTTAGATAGCAACTACACTGCCCTGGTGAGGCCCCATCTGCAGTACTCTGTCCAGTTCTGGGCTCCCCAGTTCAAGAAAGATGAAGAGCTAATGGAGAGAGTCCAGCGGAGGGCTACGAGGATGAGGAGGGGACTGGAACATCTCCCCTAC